TGGTGTGTTTATTCTTCACTTTAAACACAAAGTAACATTCAGTCTGCGGTTTTCTTCAAACTTATTTTTTGAATAATTCTGGCCCAGAAAGGATTTAATTCTGATTGTGGGTGCTATGTAACTACATATTTTTTTTATTTCAGACTGTGAGGCTACAGAAAAAGTGAAAATTACAATACACCAAATGATGGACAGTTACAGCATAATTAGTACATGTCCCAAAAACAGACTCTTTGAAGCAAATTCTCAAGATTAAGCTTCTGATAAACTATTCCCTCAAAAATCCTAAATTTCTAAAACTACGTATGAAAAGCTCATGCAGCCAACCATAAACCTCTTTGTACAGTACGTTTTACAAATTGCCAGTAAGAACAATAAGGAGAATAAACCTCAAGGGGTCTGGCTTTGGAAGAACAGGCAACAATTGTGTCGTTTGTATTTGAAATTGTTTTGCGTCATTAAGGTTCTGTGTCATGAAGCCTTCAGATATCACAAATCCAGACAACTAGGCCTATAACAGAAGATTTGCTCCAAGTCTTTCCAATATCCACCTTTTGAAATATAATGTTTATGTATGTGTATATACATAAAATGCATGTATAACAAATAACAAAACATCAAAGTATCTATTGTATGCATTGAACACCATCACAGATTATTTTTAACAGCATGTTTGCAGCTATAGTATAGGTACGAAAATAGGTTGTGACCTATTGGTTACAGACAGTTTGTATAAGCACCTGCTGCTTGCTCACATCGTTGCGCATTTACCTTGACATGAACGTTTGAAGAATTGATTGTATATTTTCACTTTCCCATTTGCAGCCCACAGCCACAATGCAAACTGGCAGTCTCACAGTTGTTTATCCACTGTCAGGCTCACAGCATTCAATTGAGCAAACCTCAGAGACTGACACATATGCTGCTGTCATCTTTTAAAACCTTCCTGCCTCATGACAACCAAAGAGCACTCACTGAACTCTTGACAAAGTGTTTTATGGATACCTGGTGGCTTGCCTATGCTGCTACAAGATCTTGTGTACTGTTCTGTAATGTACTGGCTGCAATGTGTGGGGTTGTCTGTCATACTGTGTCTTCTGCTGTACTGTGCAGGTTCTGAGAGATCGGGGCAAATAAGAATTTCAATGTACTTGTACAAATGGCAATAAACTCTACTTAACTCATCTGTTAATGTTGTTTTGTTCATGTGCTATGTGTGCACAGGCAAATCTGTTCACTGCCTGGCAATAAAGAATGGTACCACCCTTGTTCTGAGTGCCATGATTCTCTGATGCTCGTCTCAGATCATGGTGAAGCACGCATGCCTCTCGTCTTTTTTTTTTCTGCTGTAAATCTCTTTCAAGCAAGACCAATTTCTGAAGCAATGGTGCATTTTACATACAACCCCAATCTCTGACAGTCCCATCCACAAGGGCTGCTGTGCACTGATCAGACAGTGCCATAGAGTTACTCTTCCTCACCAGATAGCCTGTGTAACACAGCCCATAGGCCTGAAACAAGAAGCTAATACAGCAGGCTGATGCTAACGATGCTGAACTGTGTTATCAAGTACAAAACAGCCCTGTCCTGCAGGACAGCACAGACCCGGTTTCCTTCTCTCTTCACAACACACTCCTCTAAGGTGCCTCCTCTGATGCAATTCAAGGTTAGGAGGGATAAGGTTATAAAAACATCAAGGGGACATGAGCTACACTGAAGAACTGCAAGGTAACAGCTTCTCTCAAGTTGCTGTGGCCGTGTTTCGTCCCATCCTGTTGCACTGACTGGATGTGTGAGAGTTCGGTGAAGCTGATGTCATCCATTACTGACACCTGTTGCTGAGCTAACAAGGCTGAAACCACCTGACCCAAGGAGAGAATGGCTTCACTGATTGAACACAACTGATTGATTTACCCCTTGTTTGCTGTTAGGACCCCAACGTTGGCCAGGTGCTCTTTGTGACTTCCAAACCACAATCCCTAACCCTGCCCATTCAGAACCATAAACAACAGTACATTGAATGAGACCTGATGAGCCACTTAGTCAGGCTCTGACATGGAGGGCACTTGAGAAATTGGGAGAAACTGACAGGAACTCTCACTGGGCAGGCAAAATCGACTGCAACACAAAAAGAAGAATAAATAAATGAGTATGAAGGACGTTTCTGAACTTCCTGTTCCCACACAATATACATGTGTTCTCACACGATGTGTGCTGCCTTATCTTGACATCGGCAGTCCTACATTTGTCCTGTTGCTTCTGAAATAGCACATCAGAAGAGGCTCAATCAAGGCCAGAGCCTTTCATGTGACCAAAACACACAGACAAAATCTTCACTTGGTTGAGTCGACCTACTGTAAGTGGTGTCCTTTCAAGATTACAGCTCAGGCTTCCAAGTATATAAATATGGCTTTTTACCAGTCTGTCCATGTATATAGAAATGAGGATATACACCTCTCACAAATCCATATACTTTACAAAAAACATCTGAGAATTAATATACAGTAGTCCCTGAAATGTTCTGAAATAGAATTATGGTGGAAGCACAAGTAAAGAAGAGCAGCTTTTGCCTTTCATGTTGACCCTTCTCCTTCGGCCTCTGTCAGGAGAACAAAGCACCAACTCAAAAGTGAAGAGCAAATCACTGTGATATTTAATGTGTGGGTTTTTCGGTCAGAATCTGTTTTAGCCTCTCTTGGGCATGAGTTGAGTTTCCAGGCTTAATGCAATAGCCCAGAAGGACAATATAAAAAGGTTTAAGTGACTGTCAAAGACAGGGTCAGTAAAAAAAAGGTTAAGCCTGCAACAGCTGAACACTGTGCTTAAGGCAATTTCTCAAATCTTCTTTCAAATGTAAAAGGTTCATTAAATTAGCATTTCTCTTTTGCAAAATATACTGTACTGCTATCTTCACTTTCACTGCAAAGAAAATGTCCAAATCCAATTTTCTATAAACAATTGTACAGAAACAGCTCCGCATACGTACAAACAGACAGAAGTACTGTCGTCCTTATTGAATTAATGAAATGCTAACTACTTATAATCTTTATTTTATATAGCAGGTTGCAAGATGTTTTTTTTGTTTTAGAGTAAAACGCAGCAAAAGAAAAAATTGCTGTGACACATTAAAATACATTTTAATATAATACAATCAAACTGAACTAAAAGCTAGAATGCAAAAGCAAATTATTGAAGGATTTAAAAAGTGCAGTCTGACTTGTAAGATCTAACATGGGCTGACAGATCATTCCTCAGCCCTGGAGCAAGAGATCAGAAAGCAAGGTCTCTCAAGGCTCGAGCTTACTTTTGGAAACCGATACAATGCCAGAATTCAAATAGTGCAAAAGACGTGCACAGTAGTCGTACAAGAAGACAGTGGTTTACTGATGTATTATGTAGCCAAACAATTTAAGCCTTTAAAGGTGAGCAGAAGTATTTTGAATTTTATTGTGAGGCAGGAGTATTTAGAATTTTATTGTGAGACGAAGCCTAAAAGAGAAGGTACAGTACACCCTCATGCATATTATTTCTGGTTACGATCTGCACAGCTGGGTTTTTGGACATTAGTAAGACCGGGTTTGGATATAAAGCATGCACTAAACAACAAGAATCCAATCTCTGCATCAGGCTAGGAGAGGACACTTTCACAACACTGTAAACAACATCTGATCTCTGTTCCCTGATGGCTGAAGAGTACTTATTTTAGTCTTAAATTATTTAATTTAACAAACTGCCTGTGTAACTGATCACAGCGGAATAGTTCCCTGGATTTAGAAACTGGGGTTTTATTGTTGACTAGCAAAACATGCTGGACTGGGGCTCCCCAGAACCAGAGCTGGATATCCCCCATATATACAGCATTGCATTTATTGTATTATTATAGATTTATTGTATTATTTTGTAGTACACGTATGTACATTGAATCTGCTTTAGCATTGGACACTAATAGAGTCTATTACTATTTACTTGTAGTAGTTTTGAGCCCCATCAGCTTCTAAAAGCATTCGGATGGGTTGGTCTGGGATAAGAAGTCCTCAAATTGCCTGTTTAAATGCCTGTTCCTGTTGATGTCTGTAAGCTAGTGAGGGATTACCACATGGCGGTTGTAAATACTTTATTACCACACGACAGGAGGACCAGCTGATGATTTAACTTCTGTCAGGACAAGATCAGTCTAAGTCAGCGCAGTGTTTACAGACACCAGGCATCCCCCTTCTTTAGGATCCGTGCAGAGGAGAGAAGGATTCACAATGCCTTGTTGTGTACAGAGAACCACTCACTGCTGATCTATAGAAACACATGACAGGCCGGCAACTGCCCCACAGAATCACGTGGCCAGGACATAACTTCTTCATAGCCCGAGAATCTGTTAGAAAGCTTATTTGAATTATAACTTGTGCATTCGTCGTTTGTTGTTTAAAAAGATTAAAAATGAGATAGGAATGTAGCGCCAATGCAGAAATTCAGCAGTAAGCATCGTTCTTATATTTTAACTACGAATCATTGTTAAGTATAAATAATTAATGATAGTATGTAGACTCTGCGGTATTCTTTCCATTTGAAGCACCGCAAAAACGCACTCATCTGTAGGCTTATCGATAAGAGACATGTATTTCATTGTATTTATAACAAGACAAATTCTGTTTTATTCCTGTATACAAGGATATTTCTCGGCAATTCAGTTTCTCCTCAACTGTTAAAAAGAATGGATTTTGTTTTAGAAAACTATACTCGCAATTATTGTGAAGTACGACAGCTAAAAAAGTATATCTCAAATAAGAACAAATTAATTTGGCTGATACGGTAGCTGAAAACCAACCACGCTGGCGAACCGGAGAGGTTTGTATCGTTGTTGGGCTCTCTCCTCCCTTGTTAATCCGATTTAAATATCTGACTGCTCAAGTCCTTAATTTTATTTGCAGTTCAAAGATGTTACGGCCGTTACAATCAGGGAAAACTTACCAATTGGATCTGGATAATAAAAAAAACGAGCGACTCACCTCATGTGTGCGGAGCGCTGGATCTATCTATCTGCCCCTGTGCTGAAGGGAGACGGATTGCCTGTCTGTAGTAGCCGGGTGAGTGAGGAAGGGTTTGGATGCTGTCTAATGCACGGCTCTTAGCGGCTCTCCTCTCTCTCTAATCTCCTCGGGTCAGTCACTCATTGTTCTCTCTCTCCCTTTCAAAACGTGCCATAAATCCGAGCTGTAAGCAAGCGAGACCACCATAAGATTACAGCTCAGATTCATCCAAAAGGCACGACAACTCCTTTGCAATCGGTCGTAATAAACTTTGCAGCGAGCACCACAGTAATGGTTAGTTATAAATCTGCGATACTGACGCATCTCTCAGGAGACCTCTTTCGCGTATTGCTGACTGACTGGCAGATATGCCAAGGTTATCCTTGTATACTGCGCAGCAATGGCAACAGACGCTTCAACTGGGTTCAGCCAGGGAACGAAGAACAGACCGTGTTTTAAGTTGAAATATACTTTCGGATACGGCGTGTCATTTAGAAGCAAAGTAAGAGCGCGTTTTGGAGTTTTATACGAGCAAACAAACCTGGGTCAATTTGAGTTTCGGATAGACGATCATCTATGCCCTGGCTGTATTTCGTAGTTTTGCGTGGGGGCAGTTCGCCATCTCCTGGTCTCCCTGGACATCCACAATTTTCAACTAGTTCTATTCTGCTAAAGAAGCAACCGAATTGGGGGCAGTATAGTTTATTGGTATTAGAATGATTATTAGTTACACTCCCGTTATTAATACTACACTCTAAAATGTACGAATATCGTTATTCTTGCTATTGGTGTTGCTTGGGCTTGTTTTTAAAGCCTTTCGACCAGATAAATTACAGTTCTATGCAAGGAAGAATCGGTTTGTATTTTTGTTACTGATGATGGCTCCAGTTGGGAAAGTAACGAAATCCAATTTTTACTCCTAATTTCTCAGCGGGGTTTGCTTACCCAGTTCCACAAAATACTTTTTTCTTACTTTGAATAAACCAGTTGTGAACGTCGTTACTACATCAGTACTATATATTTTTAAATGATTTCAAAATTAAATCAATTTAAATACTGTAACGTCTGGTATCACAAAGTATCTTCTTTCCAATTTTTAACTAATGCAATATTTTCATAGTTGAGAGGCAGAAAAGTGTGGTTACCTTTCAGAAAAAAACATTTTCCTCAGAGGAGAGTGGTAAAATATTTTTTACAAATGTTTACATATCAATTTTATGTACTAATATACGCATACGCTAAACTCGTTTACAGTTGTACTTGTTATTAAAATAGTATTTTCTAAAATGTACTCCCTGCCTACTAAACCAGTTTTCGAGATGATTACAAGAACTCGAATTGTTTCTCACGATAACGCTATAATTTAATCTTTCACGCTCAATGACCTGAAGGTATATGTTCACTTTATGGTTACGAATTTACCTGTTCCAAAACGCTTTGCAAGCGCCCATGTTCTTGACAAGCGTGTGTGCGTAATTGGACTAAGATATCAAAGCTACAGGTTATGACATTTTCATCCAACATGGCTAGCTACCCATGCTGGTAGATAGCTTGGGGCTTTTACAATGATATCTACAGAACTGTGCTTTTCAGGAGGGTTGAGACCTCCTAATAAGGTTGTGTTGTGCTGCATATAGGTCCACTTTTGGCCCCTGTACTACTGCTTCCCACTGAGTTTTGAATCACAGTCTTGTGTCTCCTCCTATTTTTTTTTACCCTTCCACAACCCCAGTTCTGACTACCTCTGTCTTCTGCTGAAACAGTGCAGTCTTGTTCTGGATCTTCCTAAAGAGGACCTGATAGAGGAGGCTGTCCTTTCCTAAAAATAAACTGAACACTCTCCCTTCACATTTACATTGTTATAACATTGTGGGTACTGGACCTCAGTCTCTTTTGCATCATTAATGTTGTCTTATCATTCATGATATACAATGTGTTCATTTTTCTCTCCTTTTCAGTGTAAAAGCATTGTGAAAATGCTAGCATTTTCAAATGTTGTTCCATATAAACAAATTTGTAGTCTGCTGCAAATTACCACAAGTATGTGACGTTACATCAGTACACCAATACATGTTTGTACTGTATTTTTCTTCTATGTTACTGTTCAGACTGTGCTTTTATTGTAGCACATTGTGTGAAATGCTCACCACCAAAAGGTGCTCTTTAAAATAAATTTAAACAATCTGTAATTGATTGAAACCTGAGCTCACAAAACTCCCGAGAAGCGGATTGCTGATGTCTTGTTTTCCTGTTCAGCCAACTCAAGGTCACCTGAACTTGAATCTCCCCAGAACGTGAGCTGAAGCAGAAATACAAGATGGTTAGATAATTGTTTTTCCATGATTTCTCGAGTTGCTTGCGTTTTTGCGTCAGTCTGGACAGGATTGAAGTCCTCCTATCTCTTTCTCTTGTTTTGGTTTTAAAGCTCATATTAACAAATAGTACCTTCTGTCCACCTTCATCGGCCCTTGCAGCTGAAACTAGCAATTATTTTGTTAAGGTGTGGATCACTACCCCGGATTTGCAATGTAAGGTTCAAGACTTTTGATTGAAAGGTCACCTGGTGTATGTCCGATCTGGATTAGTTGAGAATCGGTCTGTGAAGCCAGAAGGGTCTGAAAATGTTTCTGTGCACATCCAAACATGTAGGTAACTTGAGTTTTGTAAAAACAAAACACAGCACCGCAGCATGGGGAACAGGAGTGCAAATCAGGCACATAGCCCACTTCTGGAGGTCATGGTATGCATTTCCCGCTGAGTCTGAAAACAGAAAAGAAGATTTCTTCCTTTCCAGCAGGCAAGACCCATCCCTGCTGGATTTCACTCTGGAGAGTCAGGAAGGGCACACAGTCCGAAAATTAAGGAGGAAACCAAAGGCCACTCTGGGATCCTTTGGAATGGAAAGCGTTCTGTACAATTCAACACATTGTTCACAGCTGAGAGACAGTATCAAATGGTTTCCCTCTTTGTGAGAAATGCCCTGGGATTTTTAATGACCACGGGGACTCAGAAGCTCGGTTTTACGTCTCATCCAAAGAACAGTGACTTTTTTTTCAGCATATTTTCCCCATCACTATACTGCGCCATTAGGACCCACACAGATCGCTGTAACGAACAGTTCTTTCCGGACCCTATGCGGACGACACAGTCCGATGGAGTGGGGAAACACTGGGGAAACGTCATGCAGGAAAACGGGGCTGAAGACAAGGGGGCGTGTCCAAGGTGCGCTGGTGCACGGGGGAGGTGTGGCCGAGGCGAACAATCCAAAAGAGAAGTCCTTAGGGAATATCCAAAACACACGAGAAAGTCCAAAACCAGGAGATCCATCAGAACAAAGAATTAAAAACACGAAGGCCAGGTCGGAACCGGCGGACGGGGAACGGGAACGGGAACAGAGGTTAAAACCTTAACGGGACCAGGCGCTTCCAGGTCCCGGACTCGCACGATATGGAAATCAGATGCAGAGCCCGGATGAGCGTCAGCGCCTGGCTTTTAAGGTGGGCTGGGAATAGGGAGCAGGTGCATAGAATAAAGTCTTGAGTGAAAGGGCTGGAGCACCCTTAAGGAGGGGGGACTAATATCGTGACAATCGCAGGGTGAGCGCTCCCTACTGGTCCCGCTAACACCTCTTCCAGCAGCAACCCTAGCTTTCCCAGGAGGTCTCCCATCCAGGTACTGACCAGTTGGTACTGACCAGTGGGTTGCAGGTTGTTTACTGCAGGAGGATATAGCTGCTGGTATTCTAGCAAAGAGCACCTTACTCCCCTGTTTTGCAGTGGGACACACAGGAGAACTGTCAGAGCTTTTTAGCACCAAAGGTAACTCCATTTTTTGCACGGGCAAAGCAATCAACAATACCCTGCAATCCTCCCTTTCATCCTCGTATGGCCATCGGTTACTGGAAATGCAGCTTTAGGGTTTTACCGAACCCATCAGAAAAGGCGGGAGCAAGCTCTTTTCCTTAATGTTTTACGTTACAGCTCATTTCCCTAGAGTGCTGATGAACTTAATTAGGGCCTTTCAGCAAAGCTCCTAATTGCCAGAGGAGTGTGTGTGTTGCCGCTAGCAGATAACAGTTAGCTTGGGATCAACAGAAACGTGTTTCTCAGCATCCTCCAACCACACAGTCAGGACTGAGCGGAGGCAGAGGACAGTTACTGGGAGGTAATGGCTTTTCCAAGCTTGTGGTGTCATGTCCCCGAGTTTATTTTTTTTTTCTTCTCTTATCTTTTTGCTCTTATGGACACCCCAGGGGTATCATGGTCCCACTATATCAGTTTCAGTGTGGACTGACAAAACCAGATCTGTCCGCCGACCTGGTGCCAATGTATTCCACTCCAGCAGGCACGGTGGAAGAGATCTCATCGATCTGTTTGGCAAGGACAGGTCATATCAGGTGTGTTTCCAACACATTAAACACAATGGTTGTGTTTTTTTTTTCAGCTTTTTAATGCCTCTGACTGAAGCCAGTATACAAAGTGATCCTGTACAGTGGGGACTAGGCAGGATACTTCCTGGACAGGACACTACATCATCACACAGTACACATGTATACACTCACACATGGGTCAGTTTTCACAGAGGCTAATTGACCTACTAGTATATTTTTGCCCTGTTGGAGGAAACCCACGCAAACATGGGAAAAACATACAAACTTCAAGTAGATCTGGATTTGACCCCAGTGCTCCAGCACTGTGGGGAACACTGTTTTGTCCTATTAATATTATATTTGTAGAATTCCCTTTTAAATATTAAGTTCAAATTGTTTAGTTTAGTACTATACTGGAAACGAAAAAGATATCACAATTCTGGGGAAACTTTGTCTTCTGGGCAAACGTATAAAAAACACAGCCGAAACGTTGTGTTTGTTTTCTTCTCTTTTCTGCATAGAATAAACCTTTAGCTATTCCATATATAATGTATTACAGAAACCGACATGTGAAGTAGTTCCCCGCTAATACTGTTCAATTTTTTCAGGATGCTATTTGAGACTCCAAAAAGTGGATGAGTAAGCCAATCGGAATACTACAATAAAAAATAAAAACTATAATTATGAACAGCATTGAATTCTAATAACACAATTAGTAACACAAACACTGTACATAAAGTTCCTCTACAGCGCTGATTTGCCCTCGTTTCGTTCCGTGCAGTTTGTCTTTCCTCGCACACCGTATCACGTGTTAACCTCGATGAGGTCAGAGAGAGGGCGAGGGTCAAACTAGCACGTTTGCCGGAAAGACAGGATTTGTGCGTTTGCTGTGGTCAAGTGTAGCCTGATTGCAAACACAAGCTCCGTAATGTTTAAAATTGAAGGCCTGGGTCCCAAAATGGACCCCGAGGAGATGAAGAAGAAAATGAGGGAAGACGTGATCACGTCAGTGAGGAATTTTCTGATCTACGTAGCGTTGCTCAGAGTCAGTGAGTATCATTGCTCCTCGTCGGGTTTCAAGGCATCGTGTCCTTGCCTTAGTTCTTGTCATTCACTTCTGGTCATCTTTAGAAGATATCCTGCAAATGATGGAGATATACGGGGGCGGAACTGCTGAATATTTTAACGAGAGCGAGTTTTGTGTTCAGTACGCCGCTTTCTTTAAAACAAAAACATTTTTTTCTCGTTTCAAGGTGAAAAGAATTGATGCATATGGTAAAAATTCTAATTAATTTCCCAGAATAACTATGTTCTAGAGTAGTCGTATTATGTGTAGGGAAACAACTACAGAGCTACTAGCTCTCGCCTTCATTTTATTCCAGGTCCTGACAGTAGGGGGAAGTGTTTAAAAGCCCTTGGCGTGTCTTGTTAGGAAATCTCTGCATACACCTGGTCTATAACGCTGTGATAACATTCCTGTTTAAACTGTTATAGTGATTTTATTCAAAGCTTAATCTGTTACAGTCTTGTGTATCCAAATGAAGTGCAAAACTTTAAACATGATTTGTTTCAATTAAACCTTGTTTTAACAAATTTTAAATTGTCTTTGGCAATACTAGATTGTTCCAGCCTTTAGAGTGGCACATGGTGTTGAAGCTCATTTTTGTGTTTTGTATTAGAATGGTTAACTGTTTGACAGTGAACAGTGGTTGTAGTTTTTTGGCCAATATATCACCCTGCAGCTCACAATTGGCAGCCCACTGAAGCTCAGCAGGTGTGGGCCTGGCCAGTACCTTCTGGATGGGAGATTCCTGGAAAGGCTGAGGTTGCTGCTGGAAGAAGTGTTAGTGGGGCCAGTAGGGAGCGCTCACCCTGCGATCTGTGTGGGTCCTAATGCTGCAGTATAGTGATGGGGACAATATGCTGAAAACAGAGTCACTGTTCTTTGGAGGAGATGTAAAACCAAGCTCACCCTGTGGTCTGTGTGGGTCCTAATGCCCAATCGAAGTGTTGGGGACACTGTACTGTAAAAAAGGTGCTTTCCTTTGGATAAAATGTAAAATCGAGCTCCTGTCTTTCTGTGGTCATTAAAAATCCCAGGGTGTTTCTTGAAATGAGTAGGGGTGTTACCCCAGTGTCCTGGCCAAATTTCCCCCTGGCCTTTACCAATCATGGCTTCCTGATGATCCCCATCTGTGAACTGGCTTCATCGCTCTGTTTTCCTCCCCACTGATAGCTGATGTGTGGTGATTGTATGTTGGTGCACTATGACTGCCATCACATCATCAAGAGTAGTTTATTGCCATATGTGCATGTACCTTGGATTTCTTAATCGCGCTGATCTGCTGGGACATACACAGTAGAACAGACAACACACCACGCAATGTTGGCAATAGGAACAATAAATATGTTGTGGAAAAATAAATAAATATGTACTAGTGAGACCAGAAACAAATGGTAGACTATGTAAAAACTGCGTAGTGCAGATGTGTATTAAGGTACTGCAGTTAGCTGTTGAGGATGCGCACTGCAGTGGGATAGAAGCTGTTCTAGAGTCTAGTGGTCCTTGCTTTAACAGTGCGGTACCGATTCCCTGAGGGCAGGGGAGAGAACAGCTTGTGGCTGGGATGGCTGTCTTTCTGAATGATGGATTGGGCTTTATTGCGACTTGCGAATCTCACCGATTGATAGTAAAGGTGGATGCTGCACATTGGTGGTGGAGGGGTCCCCATTACCTTTAAAACGCTTTGAGTGGAGTGTCCAGCCAAGCACTATATAAGTGTAAGGAATTATCAATACACTGATAAGTAGCTCCAGCAGTTTCTGACAGTCGTTGTGGGCTGTGAGAAGACTGTTGAAGGGTGCCGGCAATCGATTGCTCTCATGATGTGAGTTTCAGTTCTGAATTGCACACTGAGGAACTTTCCTCAGCTCTTTCCATGTTTTTCAAACGAGTGCTAGCCTTGACCCATCCCCCTCTGCCTTCCCAGCGCCCTACGTCCTGAAGAAACTGGATAGCATCTGAAGAGTCTCGCTCTCCCGCCTGCGGAGGTCTTTCCCTGCGGCAGCTCAAGACAACAGCGCGGAGCCTCTGCTGGACCGGGAACATGTCGGCAATGCTGCCAGAGATCACCAGGACTGCTCAGTCCTTGGCTTGGGCTACACATCTGGTTCTGCCCTCTATCGTCACCTCATTGTTTAAAGGCTGCGATACCCATCATGTGTATGAATGGATCTCAACACTGTGCAACTCTCACAACACTGCAGGACTTGTGTGCTGATTTTATGTATTCTTGTTAATACAGGTCAATTACCCAATGATGTGTAACCCTTTAAAAATATTTCCCCATCTCGCGTACGAGTGAAATATAACAGAACAGCATGAGTTTTTTTTTTAATTTGGGTTTTTTTTTTAAGGAGGGGTGAATCCAGCATCCTTTTCTTTGGGATAGCTTTTGTTTGTTTTAAAACCTCCTGCGCGGTGGCGTTATTTGACCGTAACGCCATTCCCATGAAGTGTAGTGTGAGTATTTGTGTCGGCCGATTCTGACGGCGAAGGGGACGTGATTCCAGCCCTCGCTTGATGGAGCAATTTTAAATTCCACTCACTGCACCACAAGTCAAAATAAAAATGGTTCTTACGATTGCTGCTGTTCATTTGTTGTAATTCTTTAGTTCAGAATCAACCTTTAATATTACGAATACAGCCAAAATGTGAAAGTAACTATTAATACTCAGTTATTACATAATTTTTTACACACAGAATCTAAACCCTCTCAATACATGCGGAGGAGTTTAATGTCAATGTATTTGTACTACTGAACTTTGTCTCTTTAATTGCAGTGATTCTCTGTGTAGAATCACTTCTGATGATTATTATTATTAGATGTTTTTCTACTTTAAGAAGACTGGAGTTGCTCTTAAGGGAAGATAGGATAATCACTTTATTAGCCCTATACAATTTCTTGCAATTGGATTTCATCTTTTCGCATACCCCAGCTTGC